AAACGTGGCGACAGGTACACCAATTCTTAAAAAACCTCCCTCCATGTATGAAATATTCAAGTGCTTTTTTCGTGAGGGACGCAATTTGAATACATACACATATAAATATGAATAAAATACAAATAGGATAAGTCGAAAAAGGGATTCGCCTGTTAGCTAGTGACTCTATTATGCAGTGGCTCTGTGAAGGGGGTCGATGGGGGCTAAATGCATTGCAGAAAGTTGCAAAGTTGCAGGGGCTGAAAAACGAACGCCCATAGATGATTAATGGCCAAAGTTGCATTCGCATTTTGATGGCCCAAACACTTTTCATAATTTCAAGCGCTCGAAATTAGTCAGCTCTTTTTGGTAAGGGTGGTGCATCCACCCCACCCCCTCTCAAATGCACATTAATGGCCATTTATAACAATTTTTGGCTGCCAGCTCTTCAAACATTCCAACAACTGCCATTGCAAATGAAGTGTAAAGGAAGATAGTCGTTGGGGAAGTTGGGGTTTGGCTTTCGGGTGGTTTTGAAACGAATTAGAATCAGAATGAATGCAATGCCCCTCAAGTTGCCAAGCAAGACCGACATGAGCCAATTTACATAACCCAGAACAACAAATAGTTACAAATTGAAAACTTTTGTCTGCCAAGATTGTAAGCGATTGTCTAGCTTCCCACTTTCCCCTTTCCCATTTCCCCCCCTCCAATGCCATTGCCATTCGCAGCGTCTCCAGTTGCCATTGTTATAATCAAAGTAGTAGCTGAATAACAAGAAAAACAGCAACTTGCTCTGACAGCGAACGAATGAAAGAGATACGTACGCTGAGATACGAAAGAGCAATGTGTACGAGATTGGATGATGGCAGCCAGAACGAAAAAGTATCGACAAGTTTGACGCTTTATGGCATTGTTTAGTGCCGCACATTTCGCCAAAAAACGTTTTTCAACTTTCACACAATTGCGCCATTTGTGCCGCGTCTTCAAGGGGCAAGGGGACAAGGGGGCCGATAGAAATAGCTATAGATTTAGCCATGTCTATGGAAAAGGGGGCGGAACAGTCGACACAAATCTGCTGACGGAAGCTCCCGTTGGTCCACAGTGCTTTTTATACGGAAAACGTGCAGAAAGTTTGAGTGCCAGCTTAGGAGCTGCTGGCAAAAAGTTATAAAACAGTAGATAATAAAATAATAAAATATATGTATTTGAATTGTAACCGACGCGTCCCATATAGACACACACACACACATACACACATATAAAGTTTTTCTTTCAGGCGATAAAATTACATGTCAAATTGAATGTAACCTGCTATTTGTGCGCATTATGGTGGCCATAATTAAACCCTTGATGGCTGGAGGCAAATCGCCACACGATGTCTGGTCAATCATGGGTTTATGTGATGGCTTAAACTTTCTGCATTGAATCCGAATCGAAATTGACATCGGATCTGCTGGGGAAATGAGTTCCGGCGCCCCGCGGATGACCTCACTTTGAGTTAGACAATGCGATACGGATATGGATGGCAGCCACATAGTATTACCATCTGAGAGTCTGAGGCTGCTATCATGAGTTATGTCTGCACGGCACCCCTGCGCTAAAATATTATTTAAATATTACTTTTCACCAAAGCGCGCCAAATCCTATAAATCAAGGGAAAGTCGCCGACTGAAAGAGATCTAGATAGAAAAGTTTCGAGGCGCAACTTTCGAGCGAGGAACAACAAGAGAAGACGCCTCAAATAAATTCGCAAGAATTGAGCAAACTTTAGAGGATTGCGATTTGTTTTCCATGAAAATGGGAAATGGAAAATTGAAAATGAGAATGTGACTAAGGGGTAAAGTCACCTTGTCATTTCGCCTACAATATCGGAATCCCTGAGAGCGTTGAGTGCTTGGCTAAGCCGAATCAATGCGAATTTTATGCTAATACAATCAATCGGTCTAATCGAATCAAACGTTTTGACAACCCAACGGCCTCAAATGGAGCGTTTTGGGGCTTGTCCCAGCTTTTGTCCTTTGTCTCTTGTTCCGACGAATAAACTATCGCCGGGACAACAAGTACGCAATATGCATAAAACTTTATATGGCATTTAAATCGCTCCCAGGGTTGGTTAGCACCCCCTTCGCACCACCCCTTTTATGCCATCTGGACGGGCTGAATACCCATTCCCAACTCATACCCATTCCCATATCCCATCCCATTTGGCTGCTTACTTCGCCTGTTAACTCAAGCGTCACAAATGCCGGAAATCGAATACAATTTGTAATTCTGATGAACAGTTGAGCAAAACTTAAGCATCGTCTGTCCCGCCTGCTGTTGCTGTTGCTGCTGGTGTTGCTGCTGCTGTTGCTGTTGCTGTTGCTATGTTGCTGCCGTGTTGTTGCTCCCGTAACGCTTGTTACTCCTCCTTTGGCCATGGCCATTGTTGATTCTGCTGGTGATTGTGATTCTTATTGTCCTGGCTTTGCTCTTCCTGCAACTACTTTTGGCATATTTAGCCCGGCTTTCACCTTGCTTTCGCTCGACTTTCTTTATCCTCATGCTCGTCCGGTTTCCTTTTCAGTTTCTGTAGCTGTATCTGTAGCTCTCGATTTGGCTTGGTTTCCATTTCGTTATCGAGTCCTCGGCAATCGCCATGTAATGCCAAATTGGGCGACATCGTTTTATGTTTTGTTTTTGCTTTCGCCCATGGATTCGGGTGTGGGGATGTGTCTACAGGTTCACTCATCAGTTGGCGCTCTGTTAAATTTCGCACACGTAGCAGCATAAAAATTGACACCGATAATTCGAGTCTCACTGACAGTGTATGTGTGCGTGTGTGTGTGCATAGTCAGCGGTACGTATACGCGATATAAACACGCACACGCCCCGAGAACATACATCATGTCGGAGAATTTGTCGGTCGCCAGCGGGGAAAGGTGAGGGGCACAGGATGCGGGACGGAGAGGAAGCTGCAGTGGGGGGCGATATGTCGCGTCGCTGTTTACACAAACAAAGTTATCAATTTTACACACGACAGTCGCTTCGCTTCCCCCAGTATATTATTTCCCAGCGGAAGGGCTTCCCAAAGTGGTTGGTACAAGGATAAGGGGAAGGTGAGCGCCTGGCAGCGCCTGCCAGCGCCTGCCAGCATTTCCATCAATTCTGTATGCAATCAATGTCCAAATCGAAGACGCAAAGCGGCGAAGCCCCTCAAAAATACAGACGAGCTTCCATACTGCGAACGCCTCAAAAACAAAATTTTCAAAACATTCACATCAATTATTTATTTATTTCATAATATACAGTTTCGTAGAGAATTTTATTTATAACCTACAATTTTACGACCTCAACAACAAAAATGTTGTGTGCCTGAAACTAGTTTCTTTAGAACGCAGACGCAAAATGTATGTTTAATTTGGGTTTCATACTTAGCAACACAATTTAGCTTTTAGTTGTACTCGTAAAAAACTTATAAACAAGAAATAAAATAAAATATTTTTCTGGTTTAAATAGATAAATCTCTGCAAGTTGTTTTGGACATTTTTTAAAGGTTTTAACACATATTAAAACAAACTATTTTAATGCTTTACGAGGGCAGCCAGACATCCATAAGTTATAGCGCATGGAAGTATGACTGTTCAAGAGAAAAAGAAAAAGGGGAAGGGGAATATTCTTCCTTTTCACTCAAGAGGTTACGCTGAAAGTGATGCTTTCAAAGGTTTTTGAGGAAATATTAAATTCAAAATATTAAAGCATACTTTTTGGGGCACCCTGCACTAGATCAAACGTTATCGTGGCCCAACCACACTATAGGAACTTCACATTTTTGCAACAATTTCTGGCGATTCCTCCCCCATAAAGTAAACATTTTTCACAATTCCGCATTTTCCCCCACCGAAAGCCAGCGATCAAAACAGAATTCACTTAGGGCTAAGAGAGATGGATGAGGGGCTGAAAAAAATGTCGCCGCTTGTTAAATTTAAGGAATGTTTGGCTTGTTAGTGTAAAATAATATGAGCAAAGTGGGTGGGGCTCTGCTTACTTAGGCGCCCGCTTGGTCTGTTGTCTATTTGATTTGCCAGGACATGCTAAAACGGGAGTAGGTGAGTGAAAGTCGAAGCACACAACGAAAAAAGAAGAATTCCACTCAAAATTGCATTTATTGGAGAAATATTTATAATAACTTGGAAATTCAATTTCCAAAGAAAATATGCTAAACGGATTTGAGGGGGGAGTGCAGCCATTGAGGGGGCAACGGGGGGAAAGGACTTTTCGAGGTGAGGATGTCAGTCTGTGTGTGTGTGAGCTTGTGGCATTGCATTAGTATGTGTAGGTATTCCAGTGGCTTGTGTCGTGTCAATGGCTCATATGTACGTCGTCTGTGTCAGTGTGTGTGTGTGTGCGTGGAGAGATATGTTAGAAAATTAAAATAGACCATATGTTGCCTCATCGATTTTGATAAGTCGCCCGCCAGCACAGCGACATTGTGCGGGGCAGGAGCAACAGCAGCACCCATGGCCGCTTCATATCCGTTTCCGCTTCGACACAATGGGCGCACAATGTGTGCGAGTGTCTGTCGCTGCCACTTTTAATTGCGAAAAGCTGGTTCAAAAAAAAAAAAACGCCTTGCCATGCATGAGTTCTCTGGCTTTTATTATTGATGTTGTTTTGTATTATTATTGCTGGTCCTGCCCACTCCTCCACTCCACTCTGTTGCTCCTTTGGACGATCTGCTGTCTGTCGTTGCGTGACACAAATCAAAAGCACCACGCAGCCTGTTTAATATTTCATAAGCCGAAGCACATTCAGCCACGCACCTCCAATGAACTTAAAGGACATGCAGGAGCAGGCCTTAACCCATCGACGCCCCCCAAAAGCCGTCAGGCTTACCATTCAATTTGGCTCCAATAAATGTTGCCGCAACATGTTGCAGCTGCGCCGGCGCCTGGCTGTCGCTGTTCCCGATGCTCCCGGAGATTTGCATATTGTTGGAGGACTCGGAGGAGCAGCTCCGTTCAGTTGTTTACCGCGCCTCAAGCCACACACACGCAACGAGCGCTGAGCAACCGGAAACGTGGGAAACGTGTTACCCGTGAACTGCGACCCGTGACCCGTTACCCGTGACCCGTGACCCTGGTGAACCGTGACCCTGGTGAAACGTGACTCGTGAGTCTGCTCGGCTGCCTTTCGTATCTGGCATCTCAATCGGAATTGGTATTGGAATCGCGTCATTGGAGTGACTGATTTCGAGTTGCGTGCTTCTGTGGCAGTTCGGAGATGCCTGCTCCTTACGTCGCGTAAGGGCAGTTACGTAAGCCGAGGACGTGCCCCCCCCCCGCGGAAAAGGACACAAACGCAACGCGCTCGAATGCGTTACGTTGCGCATGAGATGGCGGCACGCAGTTCGCGCTACATTTACTCCGACCACGGCCACCGAATCTAGTCCGCTCTTAGGAAAAGGTAGCAGAGACCACCACTTAGCCCCTCATCCCCCTCGATTTTCCCCCTTTCCTCCACGCCCCTGTCGAATATAATTAAGTGTATTATCGGAACGTGACCAGAGCGAAATTGCTGGCTGCGGGCGACGCAAATGCTCCTGCTTTTCCTCTTCCGCTGGCCAGAAGCAATTGAATGGACAGCTTAGTGTGTAATGAAGAAATTACCAAAAGCTCGAATCCCCAGAACACCCCCCGGCCCCCCATTCCCAACACCTTCCCTTCTAACAAACCCCCGCCCCTTGGCCGCAAGGACATCTTCATCTCGTTGTTGTCCTGTGGGCGTCATGGTGATTGAAAACTCGACCGCATTGCGGTCTTGTCATCAGTTTAAATGAATGTGCTGCGGCTTCCGGAGCTCCGATAAGAAGGAGCCCTGAGCCTAATCCCCTTCGGTTATTGTTTCTGCACAATTGTGGGCAGCAGAGCAGCGGGGGGGGTGGGGGAGGGGCTGGGTCCGAATGTCCTTCATCTCCGTCTTCATCTTCATCTTTTGTGTGTCGCCCTTCGAGTCGAGTCGAGTTGAATTGAGTCGAGTTCCGCGATTGCCATCATTTATTTTAATTACTTTTCTGTTGTCGCTCTCCTCCTTTCGCTCCTGCTGCAGTTATAAGTAATTCGAGAGCCCCACAAATTGCGCATGAAATGTTGGTGGAATACTTTATGGCGCTGCTCGTGATCATGGGATTAACCGCACCAGTCGACAAGCAGGGCCGTCGCAGCAGCCAATACTTCGGTGAGTACGGATTTAAATCTAATCAGACAACACTCAAAGGGTAATGCCAGCCGGGGACTGGGCAGTCGTAGAAATGGCATTATAAATGAGAATGCCACAGCGGATGGTATTGGTAATCGGAGCGGGGATTGCGAAGCAATTCCAATTAGATTGAGGGATATGACGGGGATTACAATGGGCCATTGATCCCGAAATGGTAGCAAGGGATATCATTTTAATACTCTTTTCCTATATCACAAATAAAAGAACATGGAATTTTAATAAGGGAACACATAAAACCCTCATTTATCAAGTTTTTTAAACCATTTAAAAAATAATTACAACGTAAATTAAACTTTCTTCGAAACTTTTTGCAACATTGATTCTAAAAGGTTTTAAAATTCTAAAAACGAAAACTTGAAATAACTTTGTTAAAAATACACAAATAAGAAATGGATTTTAAATTTAAATATTCCAGTAATGCTCATCTTAATAATTATTCGAAAGTAATAAATGGGTTTTATGTTTACAGACACAATTGGATTCTTGTTTTATATTTTTTCTACATTTAAATCAAATTAAGGATTTATTTCTTTATTTATAATTAGCAACTACATATAAGTTAACTAATGTATTATTTTATTAAACTTATAATATTTAAAACTATTAAAGCCACACAGCATTTTCAAATTGAAGTTAAATCATTTTTCCCAATTACGTTTCAAACTTTGTAAATTACCATATGGTGGCATGTAGCTATGCAGCAAAATAACCCTGTAGTTTTTTATGTTCTACACATGTTTTTATTAAAAAGTTTGGAACGTAGTTTATTGAATTAATCCAAAACTTTTTATGTTACTCAGGCAAAAAGTTCAATTTGTATATATTTCGTACCATGTTCCCGCTCCCAAATGGATAACTGATCTTCAAAAGAGATCCCAATTTGGTAATCTCCACTCCCAGCTGTCCGGAATTGTTTATGTTCCCATCTATTTCGCATCTCTCAACTGCGGGTGTGAGTTTAAATCGAGACCAGGAGCAGCTGCAATTGCTCATTTGTAATTTATGGCACCTGAACTCAGTTTAGGGTCCGCTTGGGGGACTGCAGCTCGGGCTGGTGGAGTGTGGAGAGGGGAGGGGGCAGGTCGGGGAGGTGTTAGCCATGGCCACTGAAGCTGCGGTTGCGGTTCGACCCGGCAATTTTCCAACTTACCACCCCGCACTTTGTATGTAAATACGCAACTTTTATTAAAAAATTTTATGTTGTTACATATTCTTTGCACAGTATGCGTGCGGGTGTGTGTGTGTGTGTGTGTGTGGAAATGTGTGTGGCTGAGTGTGGGCGGGAGTTTTTTATTTTGTGGCCAGCATAAAAAGCAATTTCAGTAGAAGTGCTCGGCCTGGGCAAAAACGAAAGAATCGCCTGCGGGTGTGGAGCAACAGTTTCAATTAAGTGTTTAACGTCATTTTATTGCTTGATATTTGATAGCTAAATTTGCCCAACCACAGTTCGCACACACAATGGATCCTGACCTATAAATCAATATGTGTTTATCCACTCCATATCCACATATTCACATATCCACAACCAATCGCAGTACCAGCCCCACTCCAAGCACAGCTGTATTTGTGTTTGTATTTGTTTAGGCACTCATGGATTATTAGCGCATTAGTTGGCTAATACATCGGCAATTGGGTGGTGGAGCAGCAGGAACAGCACCACCACCAGCACCACCCACATAAATCACTTGTCCGCCCAGCGATGGATCATAAACGTGGGAATGGGTCCGATGGGCTGCATGCTTAAGCTGGAGCATAAATTAAGCACAAATACTCGTTAATCAAATGAATGCTGATTCCCCGCCAGCTGAGGCATCCGCACCACCGGATTGAGCCACCCCACCACATCCATCGACCATCCATCTGCCCGTCCGTCTGTCTGCATATCTATCCATCTGGCTGTCCGACTGTCTATCCATTTGACGCTTCCTGTGTCCATCTATCTGTCTGCCCCCAGGCTCATGCCCTGGAATGCACTTGAATACGTTTAGATTGACGTTCAGATACAGCTGTTTGAATGAACTACCCCGGGGCTGTTTCATGGGCAGGTCGTATTTCTATGTTCTTGAAGTGGCAACCCTTTAGATATTCATCTTATACATAAATGCAAAATGGGCTGGGGTTGATTGAACGGTTCTAGAAATCTTTAATAGTTGATTTCGATCTCAGTAAATACACTTTGTGTCTAAGCTAATTCAAATTAACTTTATAATTTTATATTTTAACAATAATATAGTTATTTGTTACAACAAATCTTTTAAATGAGAAAGGCAATAATTATACATTTTCTAAAAGAGAACAGAATCAACTAAATTCAGCATTACTATTTGAAGTTGGAAGAATTTTAATTTTTTTGATCATTAACTCTTAATTTAATACCTAATAACTTTTTTCTCTGAACCCAAAGGTCACATGGCCGCCGCCGAGGATCTGTCCAACCTGATACCAGATAATTACGATGGACTCGATCCACTATTCGACAACTCCACGGAGCGGGAGATCATCGCCGCTCTGGGCACCACCGCCCGTCTGCACTGCCGAGTGCGTAATCTGGGCGATCGGGCGGTGTCCTGGATCCGACAGCGGGATCTCCACATCCTGACCATCGGCATCATGACCTACACTAATGATCAGCGTTTCCTGGCGCGCCACATCGACAACTCCGATGAGTGGGTGCTCAAGATCGTTTCGGTGCAGCCAAGGGATGCGGGCATCTACGAGTGCCAGGTGTCCACGGAGCCCAAGATCAGCCTGGCCTACAAGCTGATCGTTGTGAGTAAGTATCTTTCAGGGAAGAGGGGTATCAGGATTTATTTTGTTAAAAAACTGACACTAGCCTAATGTTAAACATTTAGAAACAATATAAATATAAGAAAATCTGAATATGTTTAATAAGCGGTTTAAAAAAAAAAAAATATGTTAAGTACTAATTCAACGCTAGCTTTTATGAGTTTTAGTTTGTTTTCTAAGCTGACGAGTTTCATTTGTTCGCTCTAGTTTTCAAATTATATAAAAAAAAGTTTATTTTTAATACTTTCGTAAGTACAAAGATAATAGTTGTAAAATGAATTACAACAATTTTTATATATTTAATACTAATACCCAAACTGAAGGGGCCAAGCACTATAAGCTTTAAAATACAATTATGTAAACTCTTTTAAACAATGAAAATCCGATTAAAATGGATTTTTCCAATACACACCCTTTTGGAGAGCCCTTTCATGACCTACCATAATTACAAAATCGAAACTTCTCCCAAGTGCTCGGTTCATTACCCCCATTGAATCTCAATCGATTGGCGGTCCTGTAAGTCCATGTAGAAGTTGTTTACATCTCTGTTTAGACATCAGCCCGAGGGTGCAAAGAGCTGGGATTACTTTGACAAATTAGTTTATCAAACAGCCTGCAACATCACAGAGCAGAATAGGAGAAGATTGGGGCAAGGCAAAGGGCCCCCCAAAGACAACTTGTTGACATACCCATTAATCGAAATCGACGCCTCCCATCGACAGCCTCCAAGGCCCAGATCCTGGCCAACCGCGAGCTGTTCATCCAGAGCGGCAGTGACATCAATCTGACGTGCATCGCCCCCCAGGCTCCAGGACCCTACACGCACATGCTGTGGCACAAGGACACGGAGCTGGTGAGCGACTCCTCGCGGGGCGGCATTCGCGTGGTGTCCGAGCAGCAGATGAAGACCAGCAACCTGGTGATATCGCGTGTCCTGCACACGGACTCCGGCAATTACACCTGCTCCGCGGACAACTCGAGTGAGTCCTTCAAAACTGCATCCTTTAAGCTCCTTGGACTATGCACGACTAAGTCTATTATTTATGTTGATACCCAACATGTTATTTAAGTCTCATTAATCCGAGAAGCTTTCAGTTTTTACAACACAAATTCAATTTCATTTAAAATCTAATTTGGTTTTAAACATGCCACTCACTGGCTTTTATTAATTATTTATGCATGCACATTGCGTATATTTCAAGTCAGGAATAACGAAAAGTAGTTTAGCATATAAACAATGTAAATAAATACTCAGCTATTAAAAATTGAATTAACGTAATTGCCTATTACATTTAAAAAATCATTAAGCCAATAACAAATATTATTATGATTGAATTTATTTAACATAATTTTGTTTATTGAAGAATAATCCTAGCTTTCATTAAATTAAAGTAAATCTTTTGTTTTAGTTTATATAAGCTTACTTGCATAATATTGCAAAAATACCACAGGTCTAAATAAAAACCTTTAACTATACATTAAAAAAATAGAATAATAGTTTGATGTTTACTCACCAACTTTTTAAATTATTCCTTCATATTTATCATTGTTTTTTAAAACCAATTTACCGTAGTTTTTTGTTTCAGCTCAGAACCATGTTATCATACTATAAATAGTTTTTTTGTACATTTTAATTATTGATTTTTAGAAGACTAAATGGTATGTTATTTTCTAACCCCTTTGTGCCACCTCTTCCCAACAGATTCTGACAGCGTCTTTGTGCATATCATTAAGAGTGAGCAGCACGCGGCCATGCAGCACGAACTGGGCTCTAAGCTGGCTCTGCCCCCCCTGCCCCTGCTCCTCCTGGCGGTCCTGCTGGTTGTCCTGCTGGCCCCTTCCTCCGCCTCCGCCTCCGCCCCCCTCTCCCCCCGCTCACCCCACTAAGCCCACAAGCCAAAGTCGAGCGGCAACTTATGTTCGATGTCAGGAGGCCTGGAGCCCTGGAGCCCTGAAGCCCTGGAACCCCATAGTCGGGTAAGTCGGTGATTTTTAATGCCACCATCAGCTCAGGAGTCGTAGTCATCATCTCGTTACAGGCCACGCCCCCCGTTACTGCCAACGCCCACGCTAACGCCCCACAGAGAAATTGGTGGATGGAGGTTAACGACGTCGATGTCGCGTTGTCTTGTAAATATGTAAATCGAGTTTTTGTTTATGTTTGTGTTTTGTGGCTCAGTCTCTAAGTATTTTTATACGTAATTAAGTAAATAGGTCGAGAGTGCATATATGGCGCCATATATAGCAATCTAGCATATATGGCAGATACATTCTGTGCAAACGATCGCATACCTAGAGATACCAAAGCGAGCAATCGAATCGAATCGAATCCGTAACGAATGTAAATAAATGTTTAATCTTAATAATAGATTGGCGAGATCTAGATTAATTATGATGAATCGGCGGGTGGAATTTAATTTGCCCGCCCAATGATTGATGCTGATATGAATGTGTGTCCGCCTCCCTTTGGCGAATTCAATTCCGACTTTGACATCCTGGGACCCTGGATTATGGCGCTTAATTGCCGGGGCGGGTGTCGATGGTCGATGGATGGTAATTGAAAAACGATAAGGTCAGGTCGGGTCATCAGCATGTGCCCCACTGGCCGCAGGCATCGACACGAGGGAACATCAAAGGCGGGACACTTTCGCTTTTTTGGGGTGTAAAGAGCTGGTGAGGTGTGGTGTCGAATGCCGAATGCTGAATGCCTAAAGCAGGGTAATTGAAATATTTGAGGCGTGCATAATTCACACTCCTCGGCGGCAATTACAGCTGAAGTTCTTGGACAAAGTTTGGAATAAGTACCTGAATGCAGGGACTCAGTGACAATTGCGGCAGCATCAAAGGCGCCACAAATCGGGCTACACAATGAGTAATGGCTGGGTAAGAGGGAATAAGGACTCGCAAGGAAGGAACAAGCCGCATAACGCATCTCCTTATTGCCAAGTGTTCGCTGAATTTTGCATAAGGTGGTGGTAATTGAAATAAAAGACGTTCGCAGACGCTAATGGGTCTGCTCGCGAGGACTGCGGGGACTCCATGTCCCATCCCCCCTCCGCAACCGCAGATTCCCCTTGAGCCCCAAGCCAAAGGCACCACAGTGGGCGAGCATCCATCACAATCTGGCGAAAGGAGAGGGTTTAAACGGGGCGACAAGGAGGCGGAGGAAGCGGAGGAACCGGAGGAGCCGGGTACATGGGCGTAAGCATGTCGTGGCGCCCGCTTCTTTTCCCCCGGCATTTCGCAAATCTTTTGGGGAATCTTACGCATCTGAAACACGCGCTGCCTGACAGTCACAGAGTCCCTGGCCCAACCCAAACCCTCCTCGGATTCCGGAACATAACCCCTTGCAAGGATGCTTCTCGGGTTCAGCTCGATGAATCGCAAGACCAAAAGGCAGAGCCCAGGGTCCGGTTGGGCTGGGAGGAGGGATCCTTGGGCCGGTTGTGGTGTTGCTGCCGCTTCACCTTCACTCATAAATTGTACAACGAGAAATAAATCAAACCCAGCCTCGACTCCGGGCGATGCTGCTACTGCTACTGCCACTGCCACTGCCACTGCTCCTGCTGCCTGAGACGCTGTCAGTAACAAATCATGCTCAGGGCTGCAGCCCAGTAGGAGCCGGAGTCGGACAGGGAGCAAGAGCCAGAGCCTCTGGCAGAACCGTACTCGTTGTCTTTGGCGCTGCCTTAACCGGAGCCATTGCCTGTGGACTTGTTTACGGGCTCAATACGCTGCGCCGGGCAACAACAGCAAGGCCAGAAGAAAGGCCGCAGGTTAGTATTACGACGACCGGATACCCACCTCCTGTCCACACTCAGTTCAACTCTCTCAAAGCAATCTAGTTTCAGTGCTGAGGAGCGTAATAAATCCTATATCTCGAAGTACTGTATTGGAAATATAGTGGATTCGGTTGAAGTTTGACTGTACCTCTTTAAAATTGTTTTAATGGAAAACTTGGCTAGATTAGTAAATTAAATAAATGTATCGAAGTTGAGAAATGGTTTAAAACATGTCTTTCTTGAATATTGATTATTGAGAAATCACTATTTTTGTTTTTTATACAAATTTTCTATTTAACAGATTGTTAAAATGTAAATGCTTAAAGTGTTTACCAGATAAATAAAGCAACATAACAGCGAAAATAAATAAAGTAATTTTTTCGTTTACTCAGAAAAAAAAATTGAATTAACTTTTGATTGGATTTCCAACAATTAATTGTTATTGTAGCAGCTGTTATTTTTATACCCTTGCAGAGGGTATTATAATTTCAGTCAAAAGTTTGCAACGCAGTGAAGGAGACATTTCGACCCTATAAAGTTATATATTCTTGATCGCATCACCAGGAGAGTCGATCTAGCCATGTCCGTCGTCGTCTGTCGTCCGTCTGCCGTCCGTCTGTCCGTCTGTCCGTCTGTCCGTCTGTCCGTCTGTCCGTCCGTTTTACGCAAACTAGTCCCTCGTTTTAAAGCTATCTGCTTGAAACTTTCCCAAAAGTTGTCTTTCTATTGCAGGTAGTTATAAGTCGGAACGAGCCGGATCGGGCCACTATATCTATAGCTGCCATATAACTGAACGATCGGAAATGCCATATCTTTGGTGTTTTTAAAGTTGGAGTTGGGATTTTTATGGGTTTTATTTTTGGCTAAAAATCCGACCTCCCAATTTCTAAGGATCGGACGACTATATCCTATAGCTGCCTATAACTGATTGATCGAATGCCATACATTGGTGTTTGTAAGTTAGGAGGCGGGTCTTTGGATTTTATATTTGTTATCAATCCGACCTACCAAATTTTAAGGATCGGCCGATTTCTTATAGCTGCCATATACTGATTGATCGAAATGCCATAAATTGGTGTTTGTAAGTTGGGCTGGATCTTTTGGATTTTATATTTGGTTAATCATCCGACCTACATTTTAGGATCGGCACTTATTTTTAGCTGCCATATAACTGAACGATTGGAAATGACATAACTTTGTTGTTTTTAAAGTTAGGAAGTTGGGACTTTTTTAAGTATTAAGAATGCATCATATGATAATTTTGGAGAATTATTTTAGATATTCTGGGTTTCAGTTTTTTTTGTTTTAGTGCTTTTAAAATCCAAAACTCATTAAGTTAATAGCTGTTTTTTAAAAAAGAAAAAAAAAAATTAATCAGAAACATTCACTAAAGAAAGCGCATGGCGGATGTTTAGATTTGGGTTCTTTTATGTTATAATTGTATGCCAAAAAAAACAATTTGAATAATATGTTACTTATTAATTTAAAATTAAGTTTTTATAAATTGTTGCTTTTAGACTTTAAAGCTGAATTTTAAAGCAGATTTTTTAAAGGAAATAAGAAAATGAAGTAACTGAGCCGAATTGTATCTATCTGAATACCGAACTGGCAATCAATCACTGCTTAGAGTAATATTATTTTCTTATACGATTGATTGACTTGTTGTAATTCCGCTTAGGTTAGACAAGCACAGTCGTTAAGTGGTGAAACCATTCAATTCGTTTCTGATTAAAAGTCGCATCGTGTTTTTTTTAAGTCGTCAACAATAACAAACAGGCAAAAGTGAAAAACAAATAGCTTACCTTATGCTGCGAGGTAGCAGGTAGAAAAAGTGCGTATACGTCCTGTTGCCTCCTTGTCTGTGCTATTGTAAGTGTGTGTGGGCGTGTGTGTTTGTGTGAATGCGTCATCAGGAGCAGAGACAGAGGCAGCAAAGGACGAGGTGGGCAGTAGAATCAACAGCAGGAGCAGATTCAGATCCACAACCAGCGGCGGGCGGAAGTGCGGAAGTGCTGGCTGTGCGAACACGACGACTACAACGACAACAGGGACAGGCTTATGAGACAGCGGAGTGAGCGGGACAGCTCGAGGAGCGACAAGGACAGAGTGTTGAGAAACTACGGGCGTAGACGCGCCGGAAAACATTTAATTACTAATGAGTTTTTCATGCTGTAGCCCGTAAGGGAAAACGCTTTAAAAACGTGGCAGGAAGTGGCGCGTAACTAGGGATTTTTAATTTGCTAATTAGCTAAATAACAGCAGAGACCTAAATTTGATTGATTGTTTGGGAGATGAAATAACAATCAATTATTCAGCCAGCATTTACCAATTGATTATCAGGTATTAGGACCTGACAAGCCACACTGCCCGGCTGCAAAGGAGTGAGATTCTCCTTGAGATCTTCATCCAACTGGCATGCATAACTTATGACCAAGACAAAAGACACAGAAAAGTTTTTGGCCAAGACAATGACATCTTTCGACAGCATTTAAAAGGCCTTAGTCATCGTTAGTCTGGACCTGCTATCCGTCCCGGAATAAACAAGGGGAAAAAGTTTATCTTCGATAATATTATTGGGGCATAACTCTGTCGGTCATAAATCAAATTAGAAGCCCGTTGACACTTGGAAACACATAAGAAATGCAAAAGATCCTAATAAATATACAACCTATGGATAGAGACAGCAGCTAGAAACTGGAGCAAACAGGAAAGTAATTGAATTGTCAAATACCCAGCCCCTTGAACAGCAACCAAAGGGCAGACGAACCTATATACCCCCTTCTAAGCCAGATCGAGGGTATGGCATGGGGCCTAAGAAAACATTTATCATGCGATTTAAGTTGGCCACGACTTTTGCACAAGAGAGATTTAAGTGATTTGCTGACTGGCTTTAAAATCAAAGTGCGGATAATGAATGGCCCGGTTGGGGCTTTTGGTCCTCGCTCTAGTGGCCTGGCACTATTTGATTTTGCCAGCCAGACTGTTTGTTTTCGGCTCAATTTAAGTTTTGTGGCAGTGCACAAAAGTGCAAAGTGCAAAATGGCAGGCATTTTGCAGCAATTGCCACAGAATGGCATC